GGACAAGTTTAAACTCTGTTTGTATACTGCAATTTTCTTTTTATACTAAGTACAACCGTATGCAGTCAAAAGTCAAAACATAAACAAACAAAATGTGAACATAGCAGACGAAATTCTTACAGATTACAGCTTTCTCAGTAGGTATCAATATACTAAATCAAAGAATAATTTAAAAAGACGTTATCGAATTCACTGAATTCCCATGTTTATTGGGACACCCTGTATATAATATCTCAGTCAAAGGAAAATTAACGGTCAGAATAAAAAATGTCCACGCAAAATTGTTTTTTGGCAGGACAGTTTATAAACTTTAATCTTTTAATTTCTTTAAAAGTAATAACTGCAAAGCTTTGTACAGTTTATAGACTTAAATATATATTTACCAGGGGGTTAAGCATCTGTTGGGGCCTAAAAGAGAATAGAATAGATATTAGAGTGGAATTTACTAGAAAAAGTGTAAAACGGCCATTTTGTTGTACTGTTTCCATACTGCAGGTGTACTTCACATATTTGTGCTATATTATAACCTTTTGGGCCCTTTACCATCATTTTATAGAAAATCTAAAATTAATTTTAAAAGAAAACCAAATTATGAAATAGGCTTGTTTCATAATTGACCAAAGATCATTTCACATAGACTCTATGCCTTTCACTTTACAAACGATGATTTACAGTTATAACTATAAATCAAATAGTGTTTTTATTCACCTAATTCATTTTAAAAAGTTTATTTAACAGCTTTAAAAAATTCGGAATTGAGATGGAAAGTCTAGGGAACATACTGTAATAATGTACTCTACTGCATATGATTTGTGAACATTTACATGATTTGCCCACTTTGAAGTCCCTTTCAGGCTGAAAGGGACTGACAAAATTCATACCGAGGAATCGTATAAATTCCACTCTAATATATATTCTATTCTCTTTGCCTGAAATCCCCTGACTAACCAGAGTTAGAGACAATCGGTTTCTTCTATTTGAAATCATACGCGTTTTGGTCAAAATTATCAAATAATGTTTTAGCTTATGGATTTTTTAGTTATATACTTTTCATTCAAAACGTTTAAGTATTGAAGAAAAAGGCTAAATAATTATGTTTAAAAGGACAAATTCTGGTCACAACTTCACAAGTCACACCTTTCTGGAATATTGACAGAACCGTTAAATCCACTTGACTGGAAACCATAACTTTTCATGATCCGGGGGGGGGGATGAGCCCCCATAACCCCCTCTCTTTTTATACGCCTCTACTCTAAGGACAACTCTAAAGAAGAGGTGTGGAGGGGCGGGCAAAAACAAGCCCCCTTTTCCCAGTTGAGAGGTTCTGAATCCTATACTATCTTGTTTCTATCCTTTGTTTAATATGGTTTGATTGCAAAAAAAAAAAAATTTTCCTCGAAATAAATGATGTTTATTCTCCGAAATAATTAATTCATGCAGAGCCTAACGTCTATTATATATATTTGTATATTGTACATATATAAATATATCTTACGAGATACATTATATTGGTTCTAGCACATTCAATGATCATTATTCCTCAATCCTCATTCCAGCTGATGGGGGGGGGGGGGGCATAAGAGGCAGTTTCTTTAAGAATTAAAAAAGTGAAGTGATGCAATTTATAAAAATGAAATGTTTTTATTCTAGCATCATTTATGGATTATATTTGCAATAACACAAGATACAAGGGGACGTGTTATCCCAATATGATGGGGAGTTGAGTTGGCCCCCTTTAAAAAAATATGTATCTATAATCCATCGGCCACCTCCCGCCCCCTACTTTAGGGTGGAGGGGGAGCTCCCTCTGAAAAATGAAATTTAAAAACATGGTATATTAAAGGAATTTTCATCTAATTTTACAGCGAAAGGGGGTTGCGCCTTTTACCCTATTCCTGGTGGGGGAAGGGGACCCCCTTTAATATAAAATGTATATATACATGACATATTATGGGATTGTGTCCTGAGAGCAGAAATGAATATTAAACAGAACCACAGTATTCTATATACATATACAATACACATACACACTCTTTCTCATACTGCACACACACAAACACCCCCACACACACTCAATCAATGTTTTTGCGGATTTTTCTTTTTTTCTGTCATTGGCACATTTTAAACATAATAAATTTTTCCCTGTCAAAAATTTTTAAGTTTGACATAAATCTTTCCTGTGGTTAATGATGGGCATCGTTTTTTTGAACGAACACACATTTTGAGAACGAACGAAAGTTTTTGTGAAAAAAGGTGTCGTTCAAACAAACAAAAAACCTGAAAAATAGACGAACTAAACGGATTGTTCAAAGAAATGAAAAAAAGGATTGTTTTTTTTTAACTGACGGAAAAAACGAACTATCTCGATCGTTCAAGACCAATTTCGTTCGTTTTTTTTTACTGAACCAACGAATTTCCTGAAAAGTTAGTAAAAAAAAACTATTATTTTACTGAACGAACGATTTTTTCAAACACTTTTTTTAAAAAAATATTTTTTTTTTTAAATTTTTTTTTCTAATCTAACAATTTTACTTCGGAAAAAAAACATTGAAAAACGATAGTTTTTTTTTTTGACGAACGTTTTTGATTGTACTAAACAAATGATTTTACTGAACAATCGTTCAATTAAAAAACGAACGAATTAGATGTAAAATGAACGATAATTTAAAAAACGAACAATCAATTATATTTTGAATGATTGAAAAAAAGAACGAAATGGACTGCTTGTGAACGATGAACAAAGGAAATGACGAAAAACGAACGCGCCCATCTCTACTCGTTGAAGACATTCCGTAGAGAGGACACTTTAAAGACAAAAAATATTTTTCTTAAATGTTACTTCTACGATCTCTCTGATTTTTACCTCTCATATTTTTCATATTTTTCGCAAAACAATATGTTTACATGCATTGTTATCAAAATATATGCATCTCAAACTGATCACATATTTTCTAAAATTGGGACACGTGCATTTTCTAATGACCCAAAACCATAAACTGTAACTTAAAATTTTTTTTCTGTCTCTGAAAATATATGTCCTTGAAAAATCTGCTCTGTCTATAAGTTGTTCTACAGCTAGGGGCAGGGCTAGGCTGAAATTCCGACTTTTTTTTAAATCGTTCCGTTTTGTTCTAGAACGAGGGCCTTCAGCTAGATCATTACGTCCTCGTTCGTTCTATCTCCAATCTTTCCATCCACGTTCCGTTCCGTTCTTTGTGTTCTTGGTCGAGAACGGTTACATGCCATGTTCCGTTCCCTTCTTTGCCGATAACGATTTCATCCTCATTCTGTTCTATAATCAAATCCTCTCACACTGTTTATAGGATAAATACACTTGATGGTAAGAAAATATAGGGGCTTACGTGGCGGGGGGAATTCGAGTAAAATTATATAAAATACTTTAAAATCTCACTATTGCCCTTATACAAAAAATTTTCTTTAACAAAGCTTTAATCAATACTGCCCTGGTGTAAATCTAGATTTGCAATATCATTATTTATTCTATGAAAATATAGATATTTTTGAGAAACGTTTCCATCTCTATTTTTCACCCCTAGAAGCTTAAACACCACAGTATTAACTATTAAGAGGGAGTATTAGTTAGTTAATCCAAAATAACACGACCTAACACAACCTAACCCGATCTATACTCGACTTGGGCTGGTCATGTTTCGAACATATTAGGGAACCTGACGTAACCCATGGTCCCAGACCTTCCACGACATAATATAACCGCAACGTCCCTGGTTGCTAGGATTAAATCTAGACGCCTTATTTACGTAAAATTGCCCAAAATTACGCAATTATGTGGCGCTTTTGCGCCAGATATTAATTGCTAGCTGGGTTGGATTTTATCTTGCTGGTATAAATGGTACACGGCATGCGCACTNGATTCTGTCAATAGATCATAAAATGTTGATAATTTAATCCTGAAATTTGTTCAACCTGAATTCAACACAAATTCGAACCATTAACATCCACCCTTCATCTACCTACATTGACTAATTGATTACGCGATTGATTAACGGATTGATTGATATTGACTATTTGATTACGCGATTGATTAGATAAAAGACCCTGAAATTGGGAAACTCACTATTCCTAAAAAATCCACAACAGTTTCTAATGTCGTCTTCACAAAAAACAAATTCCATTTGATCACGTCTTATTTTAGATTTGTCAATGTGACAACAAAGCAGAATGTAGAACCAGTCAACATAAAAACGGCAACAACTTATAAATCACCCATTAGTTATGTACGTATGTAATTGTATATGTATGTATTTCCAATGTTCCTCTGATCCTCGTAAAACTAGTTTCGTTTCTTACAGTTTTCTGCGCATGCGTGATATAATCAATATTTGACCTACTGCGCAAACTCTACGTCAAGTCATAAGACCCTATCAGCTGATTATTAAAAACACCCCCCTCGTCTTTCATCTACCACAATCGGCTTGTCATGTGAATGCTCAGAACTACAGTCGTTAAATATATGTCTTCACTTTTATGAAAACTAAATAACTGATTTATTCAGCGTTTAGTTGAATAACATTAGGATGTTATTATTTTCTCTCTTAGTTTATCATCTCAATTGTTTGCTTTCTACATCATTTCCATGTTAAGCTGATCATTATCCCCATTTGCCCAGGCTAGCCCGTAATCCGTATTTTTTTTTTTCGGGTCTGTCCTAGTATACGATTTTTAGACCCCCGGAAACCCTTTAATATAAAATGTATACATGANTTAGGGTTAGGTTAGGTTAAGATACTTTCTGGGCCGAGCGCTGCGGCTAGGATGGGCTAGTCGGGCCGAGCGCTGCGGCCACGGGTTAGGTTAGTTAAGACACTTTCTGGGCCGAGCGCTGCGGCCACGGGTTAGGTTAAGTTAAGAAACTTCCTGTCACACCCATGTACAAAATTGATAGGAGGGGTCCAAAAATCGTATACTAGGAAATTACCTTTGTTTCTAACTTGGTGTCTCATTTTCTCTTGTGCTCCATTTTATTCTATTTTACTATTTTTTAATTCCAGATTTAAGATGACAGCAACGATCTCTATTCGTCAGGGATTGATCGATCAGACTCTAGCGATCACCAGGTTAGTTCCTTGATCATTAAATTTGGATCAGGTTAAATTTGAAATAAAAAAACTAAAAATATTTTATTATTTATAAACGTGCATTTTCTTTAAAATAGATATGTTAACCAACTGGTTCAGTCCTAGTTAAAGATTTGTGGACTCCCCCGTCCCATCATTAACAACCTTTTTATCTCAGGGATTATATTGCTGAACCCCGTATCACCTACAAGACCGTGAGCGGTGTGAACGGTCCCCTGGTTATCCTCGACAATGTCAAGTTCCCAAAGTTTGCCGAGATCGTGAACCTCAAGCTTCCTGACGGTTCATACAGGTAATTCCTGTTAAAGGGACTTCAAGCGTAAATGACAATGCCCGATTTACAACGGTACCCTTGAAACCCTTATCTGATCTGAATTATGTAAGAAATAGTCGTTTTTCTAGGGTTAAAAGTTTAATTCTGAAATTCCTGAAATTGAAGTGCGGAAGGTTTTCTTATTAAATCATAGAACACCTTCTAATTATTAACATTTTTAATAGTACCGTTATGAATCGGTCGGCACTTGTTTACAGTCCGGTCCCTTTTAACACAATGAACATTCAAATATTTGTACACAAAATAATTTACTGCACTTCTTGAAGGGTGTAATCGAATTTAGTCTTAACAGCCTAGACCAAGGTTATAATGCAAGGCAAGTTATTTCAGAGGTGTAAGCATCTTTTGTACTTCAGTGTACTGTCTCTGAGCGCTTAAGTGAACACAAGACGGATGTCGGAGCCTTACATGGGATCCATCTTTCACATAAAAAAATCAATGAAATATTCTGGTCATAGGAAACTATTATGTGAACTATCAAAATTATAAAAATTTAATGCCTTTAACCTCCTGGGATACTGAACTCTGATGCATCTATATTTACAAATTCCGCTTTGAGAGAATTGGTTTCAATATGTAAGCAGAGCATACGCATCTGCAATGAACTTTCCTTGCATTATAACCTTGGTCTAGACTTTGTATGTACCTCTCTGAAACTTTAGAGCACTTTTTCTTGTTTCTAAATTTTTAAGGGTGTCGTCTAAATTAAATGATTTCCTTTACTTCTAATTAATTGTATTGTATTTAATTCTCAAATACTTTTTCAGAGCTGGGCAGGTTTTGGAAGTTTCAGGGTCTAAAGCTGTAGTTCAGGTACAACAAGTTGTTTTTATTCTGAGGTTACGATTTTAATATTTTAGGAAAAAAGTCTCGTTTTTTTATGATTTATGATTTGATTTATTTATTCATCATATTGGCAAATTTATTTATTTATTGATTACCATATTCAGTATTGACTAATGTTGGTCGATTTTAGAACCAAGCCTGAGATGCAGTTTGCAAACTTGGTCAGAACTATTTTAAACCTTCTGCTACGTTCAGATTTTTTTCGCGCGGCCATTTTTGCAAAATAAAGCCTTCACTAGGACCGAAATTAAATATTTTCAAAATATATTGAAATGGGTTTCAAAAGATGCTTCTCAAGCTGCTGAATTGTGTCCACATTTAGTTTTTGATTTTTGATTTTAAATAAACTTTTCTGAATTCTATGTATGACATATTTTAAAGATTTTTTTCGGTCTTGCGACTTTTTTTACGAACATGGCCGCGAGAAAAAATCTGAACCTACCAGAGGGTTTAAAATAGTTCTGACCACTGTCCGAATTTAATGAATTTTAGCCACGTCTCAAATCCCCCCAAAACCGGTTTTAATTGACCGTCCGCTTAAATCTTGAAAAATGTAATACAAAAAGTGGAACCAACCATATTTAAGCCGCGGCTTAAATTTAAACCGCGGCTCAAATTCTTTAAATTTGGCCTCATCTTTGCCAACTGCTCATCTAGGTCGCAAATGAAAAAGTAGGTAAATCGACCAACCGTAATATTCATCAATTGATTACTATATTGTTCAATTGATTAATCTATTAATTAGCATATTGAGCAATCGATTGATTAATTTATTGACTAATTGATTACGCGATTGATTAACGGATTGATTGATATTGACTATTTGATTACGCGATTGATTAACATTGATATTGACTATTTGATTACGCGATTGATTAACAGATTGATTGATATTGACTATTTGATTACGCGATTGATTAACAGATTGATTGATATTGACTATTTAATTACGCGATTGATTAACAGATTGATTGATATTGACTATTTAATTACGCGATTGATTAACGGATTGATTGATTTTTGTGTCTAGGTATTCGAGGGCACCTCTGGTATCGACGCTAAGCGGACGACGTGTGAATTTACCGGAGATATTCTCCGGAGCCCTGTCTCCGAGGATATGCTGGGTAACAAAATTTCCTAACAATTGGGTTTTTATTTAAAGGGAGTGACCGGCTATGTAAGGTAGTTGAACTGAGTATGCAGTGTTGTCGAAGACTTCTTGAGGATTCATTTGAGACATATTTCACATTTTAAAGATCTGTAAATCCTGAGTTTGAGCGCAAATTCGACGTTCAAAACTCATGATTTGGGGATGGATACGCTTTCAGAATTAGTTTTTTTTTAAATTATTAAATAACGACAACGAAAAATAAAGTAAAAATTACACTAAACAATACCATTCAATTAATTAATAAGTTATTTACTTTTTTGTAATTTTTCTAACTTTTGGGCTTATTCAATCTCTCTTTATCATTTGTCTTCATTACAGGTCGAGTGTTCAATGGATCTGGGAAACCTATTGACAAGGGTCCCTCCGTGATGGCCGAGGACTACCTAGATATCCAGGGTCAACCCATCAACCCCTGGTCTAGGATCTACCCAGAGGAGATGGTCCAGACGGGCATATCCGCCATCGACGTCATGAACTCGATTGCTCGAGGACAAAAGATTCCGATTTTCTCCGCCAACGGTTTACCGCACAACGAGGTTGCAGCTCAGATCTGTCGACAGGCCGGTCTAGTCAGGCTCCCGGGCAAATCTGTTCTGGATGATCATCAGGCAGGCTGTCGTGCTGTTCATTTTCGCGTCATTATTTAATACGAGATTTTCAACTTTTGCTAAGAGATTTCTTAGATATGTTATTGACGCTTTGTTATTTTTATTGGGAAGCAGGAAGTGTGAGCACTCTCTTGTTCAATTTAAGGGGACTGTCTTTTTTAGGGGCATGCTCTATTCACAACGGTACTCGTGAAATTTTATCTGATCAATTATGTTGAAGATAACGTCGTATTTCTAGCTTTAAAAATGGAAATAAGCAGTTATTAAAATTTCAAAAATGAATGTATGTCTTAATCACCATTGATCAGAAAAAGCTAGTTTTATATTTTTCCAGCTGATTTGTTTTTAATTAACAACATTTTCTTTTTGAAAAATCATTCGGATTGATTTTTTCAGTTTTCTCTTTTTTTGTTTGGCGATAAAATACAAACATTGACCCTGACTATCTCCAGGACAACTTTGCTATCGTGTTCGCCGCCATGGGAGTGAACATGGAGGCCGCCAGGTTCTTCAAGCAGGACTTCGAGGAGAACGGAAGCATGGAGAACGTCTGCCTCTTCCTCAATCTTGCCAACGATCCCACCATTGAGAGGATTATCACCCCTAGGCTGGCCCTCACAGCTGCCGAGTTCATGGCCTACCAGTGTGAGATGCACATGTTGGTTATCCTCACTGACATGTCGTCTTATGCTGAAGCTCTTAGGTTAGTTATGTTTTACATATGACGTTTAATCAAGTACATCATTTGTTAAAAAGGAATTTATAATCAATCAATCAGTGTTTAAGTACGATTCTGTCAATAGATCATAAAATGTTGATAATTTAATCCTGAAATTTGTTCAACCTGAATTCAACACAAATTCGAACCATTAACATCCACCCTTCATCTACCTACCTAATTTCATACTTCTCTATCTATTATCTAACGATATATCACGTATCTACCTACCTGCATACCCACCTACCTACACTACCTATCTAGCTACCTACCCACCCGGCTGCCTACCTACCTACCCACCTACCTACCTACCTACCTACCTACCCACCTACCTACCTAACTACCTACATACCGACCCAACCTATCTATTGTAGAGAGGTGTCTGCTGCTCGTGAGGAGGTACCGGGTAGACGTGGATTCCCCGGATACATGTACACTGATCTAGCGACCATTTATGAGAGGGCGGGCAGAGTTGAGGGAAGGAACGGATCCATTACACAGGTTAGGAACGGTTTCATGCTAAAGGAGTATTTTGAAAGGGGCTACAAGGCTGGTAAATCATTGTAAGATTATTGATATAAGAACTGATTTAAATAATCCGTAAAAATCTTTTTTTTCTAAAAGATTAAAATAAAGTTTTCTTAATCGTAAGACTAACACGTAATATATGAACTGGGTTAATTTTATCACAAATTTTAGGGCATTAGGTGGAACTAAATTTTTTACCTTAAGTTCAAAAATCTTTACGAGTGTTCTGGTATCCCTATAATGGTGTAGAATTAATTATAACTTTTTAATTTGGATCTTGACTAAGTTTATCAATGTAGGTTCCTTTTCTATCTATGCCCAACTAATTTGCTTTCTTTCTTGACTCTAGCCTAACTAGCAGATTCCTATCTTGACTATGTCTAACTTTTAGATTCCTTTCTTGACTATGTCCAACTATTTAGATTCCTATCTTGACTATGTCTATTTTTAGATTCCTATCTTGACTATGCCTGACTGTTTAGATTCCTATGTCTAACTATTTAGATTCCTATCTTGACTACTAACTATTTAGATTCCTATCTTGACTACTAACTATTTAGTTTCTTATCTTGACTACTAACTATTTAGTTTCTTATCTAGACTACTAACTATTTAGATTCCTATTTTGACTACTAACTATTTAGATTCCTATTTTGACTACTAACTATTTAGATTCCTATCTTGACTACTAACTATTTAGATTCCTATTTTGACTACTAACTATTTAGATTCCTATCTTGACTATGCCTAACGACGACATTACTCATCCTATCCCTGATCTGACTGGATACATCACAGAGGGGCAGATTTATGTTGACCGACAGCTTCACAACAGACAGGTTAGAACATTATTTAGTTATAAAATAAAATTGTATTTAATGATGATTTATTGTTTCTTTTTGCATTTCTCATTTTCTCATCGTCTTCTCCCCTGTCCTTTGACAAGATTATCTTTATTATTTAAATCATTTTTTTATTTAACTTTACTAATTGTTATTTTCTAAACTTTTTAATATTCTTTTTTTTTATGCTCATCCTTTTTTAACCATTTAAAAAAAAATATCTTTTTTCATCTTAGCTTATTCATTTGTTCGCTCATTTTTGCTTCTCTATTTATCACATCTAGTTTATTTTCATTCAAAATATTGTAATATATTCCTGGAAGTTAATTTAAGCCCCCCCCCCCACCCCCCCCCGATCATTTGTGTTTAAAATTTCCATGTTATCAACGTTTTCTTACAATTTGCCTTAAGAAGAATTAAAAAGTAATTACAAGTGACCCTCCATGCAAAGATTGATCAAATTAAGGTTTCAAGGGTACCGTTGTAAATTGGACATTTCAATCTTTGTAGGGAGGGTCACTTGAAATTACGCTTTCAGTCCCTTTAATTTTCTCGTGTTAAGATCTACCCCCCAATCAACGTGCTCCCATCTCTATCCCGATTGATGAAGTCTGCTATCGGAGAAGGAATGACCAGGAAGGATCATTCTGATGTTTCCAACCAGCTCTACGCTTGCTATGCCATTGGTAATATTTTATCTATCTATCTCTCTCAAAGATTTAAACCTCAGAGATGCAATATTATATTCTTATATGAAAGGACTGGAAGGCCATGAAGGCTGTTAGAAAAACATGTATACTTAAAATTGGCTCAGCTACATTTTAACTAGTCACAATTTGCCTAGTCACAACTTGCCTAGTTTACTCTTGCCTAGGTTACATTTTGCCTAGGTAACTTTTTGCCTAGTTCAAGTTTGCCTAGTAACATTTTGCCTAGGGTAACATTTTGCCTAGGTAACACAAGAGCATGTTTTTTGCCTATTGCGTTTTTTTTAAAACAAATTTTGTCAAAAATTAAACATTTTTTCTAAGCTTAATCAGTTAAATTTTAATGAAATAAATGTTATAGAACAATTGAATTGTATCTTGTCCAGCAATTTTAACATATACTCTACAACAGATGAAATATGGTTATATATCAGATATATATATATATTTTTTAATTACAGTTTATATCATGGAGTATAGATAGGTATCATTATTTCTTGGTCTCTGCCCTCTTCCCATCGAAAACATAGGAGAAGTTATTCTTTTCCTTGTAGTTTGGCTTACCCCGAATGGTAAGCCCTGCAGTTATCATGGGAGCCATTTTCAATTTGTCTTTCGATCTGATTGGTTTATAGAAAATTGAACTATTTAAAAAAAATTGCGAAATTTTTGCCAAAAAATTTGTAGATTTAAAAAAAAAATTCTTGGATTGTTGAAAATTTCTTTGTAAAAAAAATTAGACTAGGCGAAAAATTCGCTCTATTGTTACTCTATGCAAAATGTTACCCTAGGCAAAATGTTATTAGGCAAAATGTTACCTAGGCAAATTGTTACCTAGGCAAAATGTGACTAGGCAAGTTGTGAGTAGGCAAAATGTGACTAGGCAAATTGTGACTAGGCAAAATGTAGCTGAGCCTTAAAATTACCTCAAATAGTATTTAATTCGAAGAATCTGTCAGAAATAGCATCTTAGTCCATGAATTTGCTAAAAGGAAAGGGCGCACAGGCCATGTGAGCTGCTGTTAAAGATGTGAACATAAAACCAGCCATAAATATTTTCTAGTTCAGACATTGTTTGAAGTAGTATCTTGGTCATTAAAATCGCCAGAAAGTCGAGTCTTACCTTTAAAAAATGAACCTCAGGACTATTATATTATTACAGGAAAGGACGTACAGGCCATGAAGGCTGTTGTTGGAGAGGAAGCGCTCACCCCTGACGATCTTCTATACCTAGAGTTCCTCGGCAAGTTCGAGAAGAACTTTATTGCCCAAGGGAGTTATGAGAACAGGTAATAATCTAATACTCTCACTTTATTGCCCAAGGGAGTTATGCAGGGGTGTATATAATTCCATTTCCCCCCCCCCTGGGTGGGGAAAGCAATCAAAGGTCACAAAAGAGGGGAAGGGGAAGGGAAGGNCTTTATTGCCCAAGGGAGTTATGAGAACAGGTAATAGTCTAATACTCTCACTTTATTGCCCAAGGGAGTTATGAGAACAGGTAATAGTCTAATACTCTCACTTTATTGCCCAAGGGAGTTATGAGAACAGGTAATAGTCTAATACTCTCACTTTATTGCCCAAGGGAGTTATGAGAACAGGTAATAGTCTAATACTCTCACTTTATTGCCCAAGGGAGTTATGAGAACAGGTAATAGTCTAATACTCTCACTTTATTGCCCAAGGGAGTTATGAGAACAGGTAATAGTCTAATACTCTCACTTTATTGCCCAAGGGAGTTATGAGAACAGGTAATAGTCTAATACTCTCACTTTATTGCCCAAGGGAGTTATGAGAACAGGTAATAGTCTAATACTCTCACTTTATTGCCCAAGGGAGTTATGAGAACAGGTAATAGTCTAATACTCTCACTTTATTGCCCAAGGGAGTTATGAGAACAGGTAATAGTCTAATACTCTCACTTTATTGCCCAAGGGAGTTATGAGAACAGGTAATAGTCTAATACTCTCACTTTATTGCCCAAGGGAGTTATGAGAACAGGAAATAGTCTAATACTCTCACTTTATTGCCCAAGGGAGTAATGTGAACAGGTAATAATCTAATAATATATCTTTTTTGCCCAAGAGAGTTATGAAAACAGGTAATAGTCTAATAATCTCACTTTATTGCCCAAGGGAGTTATAGAGAACGAGAACAGGTAATAGTCTAATAATCTCACTTTATTGCCCAAGGAAGTTATGAGTACAGGTAATAGTCTAATAATCTCACTTTATTGCCCAAGGGAGTTATGAGAACAGGTAATAATCTAATAATCCCACTTTATTGCCCAAGGGAGTTATGAAAACAGGTAATAGTCTAATAATCTCACTTTAGTGCCCAAGGGAGTTATGTGAACAGGTAATAATCTAAGTATCTGTTAGATAAAAGGAGGAATTGACTTCTCTCTGATGTTTTCGTGATTAGATATATTAATATAATATTGTTTACGTTAAGAGTAGAGAAGAATCTAGTGAACCCAATTATAGTATTTGTATTTGTAAACGTAATTGGAATTGCCCGCCAATATCCATTAATAGAGTGCACATCTGATTCACATCGATCCCTTAAAGACGTTATCTGAACAAGAATATATGAATTATGAGTCAATCCTAGTTTTTCTATGTGGAAATTGAATATTTTCAATTATGAACTCAGTAGAAGTGACTTGCGGATTTATAGCTACCGAGACGATTAGAGGAGATTTGTATGAGTTTATCACTGATTGATGAACAACGATATCTTCCTCACTGTTCCCCAGATAAAGGTTTAAAGGGTACCATTGTGGATGGGACACGTCGCTCTAAAAATGAAGGATTTCTTGAAATATATTTTATAGTTCCTTAAAGAGACTTGTAGCGTAATTTTAAGTAATCCACCCTGTAAAGATACCAATGCACCACTCTCTTTTTAAAAATATTTCTAAGATAAGGTATTTATTTGGAAATAGCAGTTTATGTTTGCATAATATAATTACTATTTAATAACTTGCTACGATGTACAATGCTAAACATATTTTTCTTAATAAGTTTATCGTATTTTTATTGGTACTACTGTAAATGTTCTACATAGAAATAACAATAACATATTTTTGATTAATTATGACGATTGATTGATTGATTTAAAAATATTTCTAATGTTTAGAACTGTGTTCGAGTCCCTGGATATCGGATGGCAGCTCCTGCGTATATTCCCTAAGGAAATGTTGAAACGTATCCCGACCTCCATCCTTGCAGAGTTCTACCCCAGGGACTCCAGGCATTAAACATGGAGGACACAGCTCAGGCAGTTAATATTCTTCTTCGCAATCCTCGTCTTGTTGAGAAATCGACCCCCCCCCCCACACCCCACCCCTTCTCAAAATTATTTTTCCCACAGTACTTAACGACGGGGTTTACTTTTTAATTGGAGAAAATATATGATTTTAGAGGGAAAAGCCAGTTAATGCATTTTTTCATAAAAGTTGTTTTAACAGATTGATGATATGATTGTAAAAATAGCCTTTTGCTTACTGGAGTTAAATGCATCCAGTTCATTTTCATGCGAATTTGGACTAATTTCACTACCTGGATATGGAACCGGGTCGGCGTAAAATAAACACTGTTTTCAATCCGGATCTATGGGTGAGGGTGAGAACAACACCAGCGATTCCTGTTAATTAATTAAAAATATGTTTGGATCCGGATCCTAACATTTTTAAACCTCGCCCCCCCCCCATCAATTTACTGCGTTTGAAATTTCTTAAAAAGAATATTAATCATGTTAGGCCTTTGATTGTCAATCTGATGCCTGTACTGCATGTTCGAGATGTTCTTGGATGGACTGTACTTTACTTTTCTTTAATATTTTGTACCCTACTGTACTGTACTGTACCGTTCTGTACCGTTCGGTATCGTACTATACTGTTCTGTAGTAAATTCAATCAACATTTACCGATCTGTCAAGTAAAAATTGTAAAAGCTTAATTTTTTACAAATTGTTCAACATTGCTTTTAATTTTATCATCATGTTGAAAAGATCTCTAAGCCAACGAAGAGAAAGATCTATTTTCAAACCTTATTGAAGGTTACAACTGATTCTGGTGTTTAAATCTAGTAGAGATTATATTTCAATTTTTAGATCATTTTTATGAATTATTTATTATGTGATATACTTTAAAATCCCGGAAATTTTCACATATTAAGCGTAGCACGTTTTTTCTTATCAAACTGATTAGAAAATATGTATTTAAATTTTATTTATTTGGGCTGTAATAGTACTGAAATGCAAGTGTCCCCTTTTAAAGGATATCTTTAAAAAAACTTGTCTGATTGTGCCCTTTTTGGGACCTAGAGTAAATATTTGATTGTGTACCATATGTAACTCTTGCATTTGAGCTTTTGTCTGATCATTTTCTGGTTTTCAATGTGTTTAATTTCTGGTATTGTTTCAGAGCAACTATGGACTTGTTGGAAACTCTTCCTGATGATATCGAGAAAGGAGGTAGGAGTTTATCTAGACCCAGGGGTGTATATTTATAAGAATCCCCCCCCACCCCCCACCACCCTTGATTGGGAGGGAAATTATTTTTGATTTATTGGACAAAAGTTTTTTTTTCATCCTTTTTATCCAGAATTTTCAGGAAAATATACACCCCTGTCTTGACCTAAAGTGGGTATTGCATGAGCTCTGAAAGAGTAATAGCATTTCCAATTTACTCTTTCCTGCCCATTCTCAGAAAATAGGTTATAACCTTAATACACGTTTCGGGAAAATATTTTGAAAATTTCAATAAAACTAAACCCCCGCACCCCACATAAAAAATAATTTAATAAGGACTATCTTTGCTTGCATAAAATGGATTTGCATCATAACTAAAAACAAGCATGAAAGCTAAATTCTCTAAATTTCAGCATGCAAGTGCAAGATGTGTAAAGTTGTAAACTGATACTGAATATTTTAATGATTGGTAGATTTATCAAAAGAAAATAATGATTTTGTTTCTTCCTAACAATTTCAATATGGTTGTGAAATAGAAGTTTACGCTGTGTTTTTTCATATTTGTCAAGCTGCCTTTTATTCCTTCCATAACAATTACAATCATATAATTTGTTTTAAGATGAAATCTCGATTTTTGTTTGAATGTTAAGGATAACTAAATAGAGTTGCATGCCTTAGCTGCACTTTTATTAGTATAATTTTTTAATCCTGAGTCTGAATTCCACCGAGTATATTTGAGAAGATATGCCACTAAACTTCACTGTACATCACAGTTTACTTGTTTCTTAAAGGGATTGTACATCACAGTTTACTTGTTTCTTAAAGGGACTGTACATCACAGTTTACTTGTTCCTTAAAGGGACTGTACATCACAGTATACTTGTTTCTTAAAGGGACTGTACATCACAGTTTACTTGTTTCTTAAAGGGACTGTATACTTTAAAGAGAGGATTGTCCGATTTACAACGGTTCCCTTTTAAAAAAATTGATCATTAATAGTAGAGCACCCTGGGAGTTTACCTTTAAAATGGTGTTCAAATTGCAGAAAAACTGGAGTGTACGCAGCGTACAGTGTGATCTCAACACTGCTGACGTTACATGTATTCCTTGAAAATGGTGAATATTCGTTGTCCAACATGGATTTCAAAATTTTCAATAAAAATATATATTTTCTGCGACGTTAGAGTAAATATTAATATACAGGGGTTTCTGTAAAGAAATAAGAACAAGTCCTTCATCCCTGATCAGTCGGAGGTTTATATGATGTGAATCGGATATGGAGGATCACTTAAATGTGCGCCAACAGTCCCTTTCATAAAAACATGAAATGTAAAACTGTGCTAAGATTAATGTCTGAAGAGTTTTCCTGCGCCAAAGATAACGCCGATCAAAAATAATTCGAATCGACTTTTATTTATTTTATTATAGTTCATTTATTATTTGTTTTCTATCACATATCACCAACGGTCAACCGAGCCCCTAAAAAACATGGCCATCAAAATTCACTTAATTTGAGAGAATATCACTTTATTTTTTTAAGAATTGGCGCATTTTTATTCACTAAGTTATTGTTGCGAATTTCCAGTGAAAGTTTTTAATTTTAAATCCACTGTAAAGTATGTAAAAGATCTTTTTTAAACTATGAGTAAGACTCGAAAAACATGCAGAAAGTACTGAAAAAAAAATATTTTTTTACGAAAAATTATTACTGCTTACATTTGTTTTTTGAAATAGTTAACCAGTTATAGACGCTTATAAATAGCAGTCCACTGTCAATGGTACAATCAGTTCAAAATTTCAACCAGTTTGGGATTGAATTAAAATGACCGGAAGAGATATTATCTGCGTGGTGCAGTAAGTTGACCGTTGAGTTGCCTGCCCCTAACTAGATTAGTTGTGTAGTGCTAATGTTGGAATAATCTCATAAGGTGACAATCTCGCAGCTACCAGTGCATTCCAGCAGAAGGCTGTAGAGGTCAGAGGACAGAGGATCAACTGGCAGTCATACCTACAGTAAGATTTTGACATGGACACAAATATTTTTTGCCAACAACCCCTCAATTTTTCAAATTATGCTCAATTTATTTTTGTTTTAAAATGCCTTAAAAACATTTTGTGATATTTTATCGTCAAAAAGCTTCTTTTTTTGTGATTATCTTTTCTGTTTTTCCTTTTTATAATCTATTTTATTTAACATTTTGAAGTCAAACTAAATTAATGCTCCAAACTTTACCATTGATACGGTTTATTTTTTGTGTGCGAAAAGCTTTCTTTACTAGTATTTGGTTAATGCCCCTCGGATCCGGATTTTTGCGTAAGCCTAAAGGTTATGGATTCTTAAAACTAATTTTAACCCCCCCCCCCCCTCCCGTCATATTAGGTTTATTTAATTCTTGAAAATATTTTTACTCAGGTCTCAGATGATTTCTGAAGAAGATTATTCCTTTATATCTAGATATGATATTGCAGATTCGGCCACCAGGTTCATATTTTACAATACAGTGTCCCAATAAACATGACAATTTCTCAATGTGTTGTGAAATCTATGTTGTCGTCTCTAAATGTAATGCGACATTTATTCGCGAACAATAAAATACCTGACATTTTCAAAATGTGGTCACTGGTCAGCCTTTTTTATGCTTTCAATGTCACTAGAGATGATTTACTGAATTTAGTTCAGATTTCATTAAATAAAGAAACGTTATCTATTTATATACTCTGCTTACAAGCAAATCTTATATTTTTCTTTCAACAAAACAGCAAATGAATGTTTATTTGGAAAATTGCCACTCGGGAATTTGCACATTTTGGGAAGTTGCCACTGGGGAAGTAGTTGCCCAGAGAAAATACTTTTGGGAACTCTTAATCATTAAACTCTTGATTCTATTTTTTCTATATTAGGGAAAAGATAGTGGAAGAGAACCCTTTACAATCCGCAAGAACTTTTTACAGTCTCATAGGTAATCAGGGGTACTCCCCCCCCCCTTCCCCGGTCCTGGAACATTGGTGGGAATTCCAAAACATAGAGGAAATTAATTTGAAATTGATGTTGATTTCAAAAAAATCTTCATTGAGATTCTTCCCAACATTGTTAAAAACTGTTAAGGGGGAAATTTTAACAATAAACTTGGTGCTTCTCCGGTATTAATTTCCTTCATGGAACTCTTATTTGTAAACAAAAGTTAAACTTCCTTTGAATATTCATTGATTTGAGCTGGGAACTTTTGTGATGGATACTTATCCATATCTAATCTCGATATCCACTGTGGATACTTAAGTAATTCCTCCCCTGATCAAAGCTCCCTTCAATCCCTGACCTGGTACGATTACCATGCGGGATATCGAATAAGGATTAGATTAATTTGCGGATTTATAAAAGATCAAGATCAAGCATTGTTATCAATATTTACAATTCCAAATCTGGAGTATAAAGTTTTAAACGTTTTTCAGGTCACATATCGAAAGACCAGACTATCCAATATTTGCTGACTCTCATTGATGACTTCTTGCAGGAAAGAACTTTATGTTCAAACACAGGGTTCCACTTAAAGTCACTTAATTAGACCACAAGTGCTCCTCAATGCATATATGACAATGTCCAGTTTACATTTTCTGATCAATTATTATTTAGATATACATATTTTGGTTTTTTCAACTTTTATTTACAATCACGATTTCCATGCAAAAGTTACTGGCTCATTACTTTCTTTTATATAAGAAACAATGATGAAGTTGTCAAAATTAAACACTTTTCTAGTCAGGTAAACGACGATATTTTGGCATTTTTGATTAAATTAGGGAGTCAAGGGTACCGTTCCATACTTGATCAGACCTTTGTGAATTGGGCATTGTCATCTTTTCATGAAGGGTCCCTTTATGCGATTCCCTTTTGATATTATTAAAATAGAATGATAATTGATAATAATACTAATGCGTAATTCTTACCCTGTCCAGTGTCCATTGCATATTTTACTATTTAGATATGAAATTATTCAACTATTCAAAACCACAAAATTATTTTATAATTTTTGAGATTAGATTAACTTCCTTATCGTGCAATTTAATTAAATCATGTTTTGATGATAAATGGTATTAAATTGTATTTGAGTTTAATTTTGAAGCGGATTCTTGAAAAAAATGGATCCGGTTTTTTCTTCTTTTTTAACAAATTAAAAATCTCTAAAAATTTTCTTCGCTTATTTTTGTGCTAAAATATAATAAACCATTTAGAGATTAGGCAGTTTTGTATTCTCTTATTAGCTAATTAAGATTTTTGTTTTGAGAGGAAAGGAGGCATTGGTTGATATTTTGTCCTTGTATCCGGATCTGAGGTGTTGTATATTATATTAATCAGGATCTGGATTCTACACATCATGTTTTATTTATTATTTTTTTTAAATCGTTGATATCTCATATGAAATATTAATTTGCTTTGCTGAACATGAAGTTAAACGTTCTTGAATAAACAGGAGAAAAAGAACAGGGTTGCTATCTTCAGAGAATATGCAAGGAACGGAGATCAATTAAATTTTGATAAAACTTTTTTTTTGAATGATGAGTTGTTAACAAATTTTGATTTTCTGTTCATTCTTTAATCTATATAAATGAGAAGTACTATATCAAATGTTCACTAGGTTTTGTGTCTAAATGTTACTAAAATGAATTTAATTGGTTACATCTTATTTTTATTGTCTATCCTTTTTAAGAAAGCGAAAGGAATCTGTGTGGGCCCAGTTTCTAAACCTTTTAAACAGACCTGATGGGTAAGTTAATTTAAACATTGCTTGTACACAAACCCAACCTTAAAATCTACTTTTAACACGTCCTTAACTAGATTTAAACTTTTTTTCCCTCGTGATTTCTAGTGAGCCTCCATGCAAGGATGGCAATGCCTTATTCACAATAGTACCTTTATCTGATCAAAAGGAAGATTTGTCATTATTCTAGGTTCTAACAAAATTTAACATAATTCATAATTGATCAGACAGAGATTTTAAGGTACCTTTGTGATTCGGTATTCACATATTTGCTTGGAGGAACACATGAAATTACTTTTAAAGTCTCTTTGAACCCAACCTAAACTACTTAAAATTACTTTTACAGTCTCTTTGAACCCGACCTAAACTACTTAAAATTGACTTAGATCCAGTCTCTTTGAACCCTACCTAAACTACTTAAAATGGACTTAGATCCAGTCTCTTTGAACCTGACCTAAACTACTTAAAATTGGCTCAGATCCAGTCTCTTTGAACCTGACCTAAACTACTTAAAATTGACTTAGATCCAGTCTCTTTGAACCTGACCTAAACTACTTAAAAGTGACTTGGATCCAGTCTCTTTGAACCTGACTTATACTACTGAAAACTGGCTTAGATCCAGTCTCTTTGAACCCAACCTAAACTACTTAAAATTGACTTAGATCCAGTCTCTTTGAACCTGACCTAAACTACTTAAAATTGACTTAGATCCAGTCTCTTTGAACCCGACCTAAACTACTTAAAATTTACTTAGATCCAGTCTCTTTGAACCTGGCCTAAACTACTTAAAAGTGACTTGGATCCAGTCTTTTTGAACCTGACTTGTACTACTTTAAACTGTCTTAGATCCAACAATGCAAACAATGACTTATATTTGCATATAGAACTTATTTATTTGCTTAAGATGGATCAAAAACAACTTAAAATCGACTGAAAATTTACTTTAAATCAACTAAAATTAGTTCTTGGGCTATGTACCCCATGTGGTTTGAAAGATGGAACATCTTTTAACTTTAATAATTTATTTTAAATATTTCTAAATATTTTTGGTGAAATCAGATGGAAATATTTTGAGATTTCTGTAATTCTTGTTCTTCATTTTCTTCTTGCTCGTACATCTTTAAATCATATTTCGGCTAATTTTGAAATAAAAGAAAAAGAATTTTGTTAGGATGTCCTTGTAGTTGGCCACTTTACAAGAAAGAACTATTTTTAAAGGATCATGCTTTTTTCCTGAACCCTGTATTTAATTGAACTAGCTGAGGGCCTTGCTTTCTTTCCTCGGAACTCAATATTGAATTGTTTACCCTAGAGTTGCATCTGACTAAGCAAAAACACAATTTCCTAAATTTTCTTGGGGGCAGGAAGGGGCGGGAGGAGGGCGATTGTCTCACCCCCCTCCCTGGTGTGAAATAGGGGGTAACCATCTCTAATATCCAGAGATTTCCCTTCCAATTTTTCCTGTTCAATTTTTCTTTTTTCTTCTTGCGTCTTGTTTCTTGTTTCAACACTTTGAGGCCTCTCCAAATAGTTCTTTTGACATCGAGTATGAGAGAGATAAGGAGGTTTGTAGGAGGAAGGGTTTAAGGGAGGGCTCCTTGTTTTCCTTCTATTATGCTCCTTCCGAGGTAAGGGGCATTAAGGAAACCCATAACTGCTCTTATGCAATATGGGGAGTTATAAGCCCTAAAGCCCCATTGAGAGGAATCTTCCACAGCAGTCCAGTCCTTACAGTTGAGTAAAAAAACGGTATTGTTGTGCATGGTTTGTATATCCATTAGGTATTAGACTCCTTCTTTTAGTTACACCAGGCTGAAGATGAAGTCTTGTTTTATTCTATGTACATTCCTTATACTTCTCCTGTAGGATATGAGATGCGCAACTGAACTGATGCGTTCCGCCAAACTGTAAAGCTGTGGCCTCTATAAGAGAGTTATGTTCTCTTCTGAGGGCGGTAGGGAACTGGAACTAAAGTCTAATATTTTTTAAATAAACCCGACTAAAAGCCGACTTAAACTCGAGAAATAATTGACTTAAAATAGACCAAAACTCAATTAAAAAAGACGACTTAAAATTGATATAAAATTTGAAAACTAAATTTTTTGATGTTTAGGTTTATCCAGAATATGACAGCTCGTGTGATTGCTAAGATGGCATGCTGGTCTGTTGAACCAATGCAGGGTCAGGATCTGCAACATTATCTACTCTGGCTTAAGGACCAGCTCAAAGTACAGGTACAGTGGTACCCAAAAAACTAAGTTTGAACGTTTTTTGTCAATTTTTTTGACAATTTCATTTACACTTCCGTGAAAAGGTATGTTCTAGTGATACCTCATTTGTGTGTAGTAAGAGAGCCAAAAGTATAGTGGCCACATGTCTCTGTCTGTATCACGTGACCAGTATAATGCACTCTCATTGGTGGCAGTTCTTGTGACTTAATACGGACTTAAAAATAATATTATCAATTATGTCCATTAAGAATAGAAATAAAAATTAAAAAATAGTAATTTGAATTACAACTAGGTTATTCTGGGATATCTTCGTTTTCAGATTGGCTGCGTATTTGCTGAATATGATCTGTTTAAAGTAACATACTGCTTCTACACAAAATTGTATATATATGTATTTTCGTATAAATTTGAAACAGTTTAATATCAATTTCTCGAGTCAGGAACATCAGATATAATTGGTCTCGATCTAAAATTTATTAGCTTTCAGTCTATACCCCTTTCATTTTTCCTTTACAGTCACGTTAATGTAAAGAAAACAGGCAAAATATCTATCTTGATAAACTATAATGCGCGATAAATTACAAATCAAATTTTTTTTTTAGTCTTCAATTATTAATTTTGACCCTTTTTAAGTTTTTCAGATCAATTTTTTTCCACTTTAATCAGGATCCGCGGATCTGCATATTTTTGTGGATCCTGATATATCCAGGGAGCTAAATGCGGTTCCAATGAATCCGGATTCTTAACACTACAAAAAATGTAATAATTGTTTTTGTAATTTCTTTAAAATATGAAACATTGCTAAAAGGTAAAAAAAAAACATTGCGCTTCTTGTTTTTATCCCTGAATAATTTTTAAAAATTATTTTAGAAGAACACCTACGTCCAGTCAGTTGCCCGCTGTCTACAGATGATGCTTAGGATTGACGATTACCGCCGTGCGTTCGCCAGCGTCGATGGTATCGCCGCCATCGTCAGTGTTCTCTCCGGGAAGGTCAACTTCCAGGTAAGGGAATTATTGACAAATGCTTGTTCAACTTTTTTCCGACTCCTTTCTTGAATTGAAAGGATGAAACCGGCTTGGTAATATATTTTAACCGAGAGCGCAGTATTTTAGAGATACTATAAGAGCCATTAACTTGTTTGTTTTTAGGAACAGATGGAAAAATTAAAATGAACTAACATTCTTGAAAATAAGTAATCTTTTATTTATCTGTTTCCGCAAAGTTTGTCAACTAACGTTTTTCGTAGTTTTTCTGGAATTTGTATTGACATAACAACATTTGAAATTCAATACAATGGCTAAAAAGAAATTATTGATTCTATTATTTATTAATTATCTCTTCACAAACTTCATTGGAAACATGTTCCTTAACAGCAAACTCGTGAACAATAGAATTTTTGTTACATTTTTCGTCCTGATTATGAAATAATTGTAAAAAAAATGTCATCTGGTGAAATTTTACTACAAAATACTCTTACTTAGAAATTAAACACCTTAAAAACTTTCCATTGTTTTCTCTAATACTGCACTCTCAACTCAAATATGTTACCTAGCCGTCTCTCCCTTAAAGGAATTAGATTGATAAGTTAAAACTTGTCGCTAATAACTTCTCTGGTTTTTGGTAACGGGAATACAGATTTAGTATTTTTAAAATTAGTATTTAAAATTGGTATTAAGTCGAGTCATAGTTCCTTTTGNTAGTTTACATAATGACCTTGCAACAAGGAAACATAAAAATAAAATATAGTTTACATAATGACCTTGCAACAAGGAAACATAAAAATAAAATATAGTTTACATAATGACCTTGCAACAAGGAAACATAAAAATAAAATATAGTTTACATAATGAACTTGCAACAAGGAAACATAAAAATAAAATATAGTTTACATAATGAACTTGCAACAAGGAAACATAAGAATAAAATATAGTTTTAATAATGAACTTGCAACAAGGAAACATAAGAATAAAATATAGTTTTAATAATGAACTTGCAACAAGGAAACATAAGAATAAAATATCTTAGTTTTAATAATGAACTTGCTACAAGGAAACATACAATAAAGTATTCAATATCAGAGAAATCAAGTTTTTATTGATGTCATATAGCTCCCGCCTTTTCTGTCTGGTCTAAAGCCTTAATAATTTTTATGTTCTCAGTTTAATTATATTCAATAAAAATATTTTGTATTATGTTAGACTGAACAAATTTGGAGTTATCCCTATTCTTGCAGATATTTTGAGCGATGCACAAAAAGAGAAGGTAAAATACATTTTAGTAAATCTGTAAAACAGTTGAACCACTTACAAGTTTCTTTTTTGGTTTCAATATTTTGTTGAGTGTTCATCTTCCTGTCCGAATTATTCTACTATAAAAACTGATTATTTAGAGATACTTTGTATTTGTTCGGTTCCATATCTAATATCTGGCAAATGATTTCTTCTGTAAATGATTTCACGCTTTTGTTCAGTAGATTGATTTTTCTTTCCATCTAAAAACATGCAAAATCTAATTATAGCATCAACTTAAAAAGAAGCAAGCAAGTGCAATGTAAATTAGTAAACAAACAAGCTAACTAAGGAAACAATCACACCACATGCATTATTTATAAATAAAGAACCAATTTTACATATAAAAGGGTTTTCAACATGTTACCATTGGAACATTAGAAAAATGAAAAAGCAATAGTCAGGACAAGAGCATAAGTGAAATATAAAAACTTAAAAAACGCTTCATGTCAATCCAACATGATAAAGTCGTATTTCACAAAAATTTTAAAAATTAGAATTTCTTGGTATTTGCTCATGGAATCTAACAAATATCAGATAATAGTAATCTAATGAGGATTAAAATGTAATAATGGAAATCTTTAACTCGGTGAAATAATCTTGATACATTCTCTAACTCTGGCCTGCGACTTCGTTAAAGAATACATCAAGATTATTTCATCTCGGTTAAGAATTTCCATTATTACATGTTTTTCCTCATAAGATTATTGTAAAATAATCTTTTGAATTTCTGAAGAATTTCTCTTAATGGAACTGTACAAAAATCCAATTACTACATATTACAGGTGAGCAGAATAATTTTGGGGGTTTTCCGAAACCTCATAGAGAAACCAGAGGAGCAGTCCGTCAAGAAGGAAAATTGCATCTCCATGTATCAATGTAAGGTAAGAGGAGCAGTCCCTTACGAAGGAGAACTGTATTTCCATGTATCAATGTAAGGTTGGAGGAGCAGTCCGTCAAGAAGGAGAATTGTATCTCCATGTACTAGCTTACGGTAAGAGGAGCAGTCCGTCAAGAGTGTTTCCATGTATCACTGCAAGGTTAGAGGAGCAGTCCATCTAGAAGGAGAATTATATCTCCACCTATCAACTTAAGTTAAGAGGATTAGTCCATCTAGAAGGATAATTGTATCTCCATGTATCAACCTAAGGTATCATACCAAAAAACGATCATTCTCCTGAAGTAGAGTAAAATAAAGTACGTAAACCAGAAAACTTTGAAATCCTTTTAATTATGAAAGTGTAAAATTTTTTTTTACAACCTGAAGCGACCTTGCTTTATTTATTTAATATAGCCCTTCGCTCATCTATAGATACTTTGTCTGTCTGGGTGTCTGTCTTTTTGTTTGTTATGGTATTTGTCCGTTTTATCCAATAAATGTCAAAACGGCTGAACCGATCGGGCACACGTTTTTTGTAGGACCTCGCGTGACCCCAGTGAAAGGTTTATGGATAATCGAATTTTTAAAAAATTTGCCTCTAACAATAAAAAGCCACGAAATTATTTTGATAAAATCCGCTACATTTTTTGTTTTTGTCTAACGTATACAAAGAGAACATGTTCACAGTTAAATAGAGGATGGAAAAGCCTAGTCTATATATATTTGTATAATCAAAAATATTTTGTTATCAAAAATAGATTATGTTTTTACCTTTTTAATCCACGGGCAACCCTGGGCACTTCAGCTAGTGTTGAATGTTATGATTAATGTAATGTCTTTTTCTAGGTGATGAAGCAACTTGAGTTACTTGAACAGAGGAAGTTTGAGGACGAGGATATTCAGGAGGACATTCATTATCTCATGGAGAGGATGGAGGCCAGTGTTCAAGACCTCTCCAGCTATGATGAATATGTCACTGAGGTCAAGTCAGGACGACTGGAGTGGTCACCTGTACACAGGTAGCTAGAGGTCACCAGTACATAGGTAGTTAGAGGTCACCAGTACACAGGTAGAGGTCACCAATGCACAGGTAGCTAGAGGTCACCAATGCACAGGTAGCTAGAGGTCACCAATGCACAGGTAGCTAGAGGTCACCAATGCACATGTAGCTAGAGGTCACCAGTGCACAGGTAGCTAGAGGTCACCAGTGCACAGGTAGCTAGTGGTGACCTTTACACAGGTAGCTTGAGGTCACCAGTAAACAGGTACCTAGAGGTCATCAGTACACAGGTAGCTAGAGGTCACCAGTACACAGGTAGTTAGAGGTCACCAGTTCACAGGTAGCTAGAGGTCACCAGCACATTGGTAGCTAGAGGTCACCAGTACACAGGTAGCTAGAGGTCATCAGTACACAGGTAGCTAGAGGTCACCAGTGCACCTGGTAGCTAGAGGTGACCTGTACACAGGTAGCTAGAGGTCACCAGTACACAGGTAGCTAGAGGTCACCAGTACACTGGTAGTTAGAGGTCACCAGTACAAAGGTTGCTAGAGGTCACCAGTACACAGGTAGCTAGAGGTCACCTGTACACAGGTAGCTAAGAGGTCCCCAGAGCACAGGTAGCTAAGAGGTCACCAGTACACAGGTAACTAGAGGTCACTAGTACACAGGTACTAAGAGGTCACCAGTTCACAGGTACCTAGAGGTCACATGTACACAGGTACCTAGAGGTCACATGTACACAGGTAGCCAGAGGTCACCAGAACACATGTACGTAGAGGTCACCTGTATACAGGTTCAGTGCTTAGGATTCGGATCCGCAAGATTTTGGCTTTATGGATCCGGATCCAAGGGGCAAAATATCGACCAAAAATGGGAAAAATAACTATTTATAACCCTACTGGTTGAAGGGAGGCGAGGTATAAAGTATTTGAGCCAAAAACAAATCTTTTTCGAGAGAATTCGAGACTTTTTTATGAGATTTTTAACAAGAGCGTAGCGAGGGTTAAAAAATCTCATCAAAAGAGTAGAAAACCTCGAGAAAAATAAATGTTTTTGGCGAAAATACTTAACGATCCCCATTCACCCTGTAGGGTTTTAGATAATTATATACTCTGGAAAATATTAAGAAATATATAGAAATATGAATTTAAATGTTAACACTCAAAATACACCAAAATGGCACGTAAATTATATAACATCTTATATAAAGTTTTAACCTTTAAAAAGTACATATGAAAGAAAATCCTAAATATTAATGCTGGAAGATTATCATTCAAAAGAATGCGGGAACTTCATAGCAAAAAATACGCACGTATTGAAAGGTGTACTCAGCTGGGGTGATATTTTACTTTTAAACCCATAAGAAAATAGTGAAAATTTTACCCCATCTCAGCTGGGAATATATGGGTTTCAGGATATGTTACCCATAGATTAAAAAGAGGCCACCCAGGGCATACAAATTTTTTACTCAACCCAAATCTGAACTATTGAAAAAAGAGAGATTATAAAAATTTCCTGATTTCTGAATGGTTCATCAAGTTTTAGCATAAAAATAATTGAAAAAATAAGACAATGACCTCTGAAGACCTATAATGACCCCCAAATGACCTTCAGTTTTCTGGTTCTCATTTCATACAGTTTTTAAATACCCGGGACTTGATTTAATGAATCGTAAGAAGAGGTGTAACCGTGAAGGCGCAGTTAACTACTTCTCTTCTACTCCGGTTAAAACTCAAGAGAAATAAATATAAAACAAAAAACTAAAATTTAGATCCGAGAAGTTCTGGAGAGAGAATGCTAGTAATCTGAACGACAAGAATTATGAATTATTAAAGATTCTTCTCTCTCTTCTTGAAACAGCAAGAGATCCCTTAGTTCTCTGTGTTGCTTGCTTCGATCTAGGTAAGCAAAGATTTAGTCTGAAATGTTCAGTGTTTAGGATCCGGATCCAATGGACTATGCCCGTGGAAAGCATGTACTTGAACAGCTGATGATTGTATTGTATATTGTGTAGGAGAATATGTACGAAAATATGCCCGTGGAAAGCATGTACTAGAACAGCTGATGATTGTATGGAACATTGTATAGGAGAATATGTACGACAATATGCCCGTGGAAAGCATGTACTTGAACAGCTGATGATTGTATTGAACATTGTATAGGAGAATATGTACGACAATATGCCTGTATAGGAGAATATGTACGACAATATGCCCATGGAAATCATGTACTAGAACATCTTGTTATAGTATTGTATATTGTGTAGGAGAATGTGTTTATAAATATGCCCGTGGAAAGCATGTACTAGAACAGCTTATAATTGTAGTGTACATTTTATAGGAGAATATGTACGACACTATGCCCGTGGAAAGCATGTACTAGAACGGCTGAGGATTGTATTGAACATTGTATAGGAGAATATGTACGAAAATATGCCTGTGGAAATCATTTACTAGAGCATCTTGTGATAGTATTGTACATTGTGTAGGAGAATATGTACGACACTATGCCCGTGGAAAGCATGTACTTGAACAGCTAGGAGGGAAAACTCTTGTAATGGCTCTACTATCACACGAGGATCCTAATGTCAGGTCGACCTTTTTTTAAAATGCTATTTTTGGGCTTAACCCATGCATGTAAATTTTTTTTTAAATCGTCCCCCCCCCCCCTTTTTAAACAGTCTTCTCCCCTTATGTTCAGTAAGCTTTAAATGTTTTATTCGCGGACTTAAAGACAATAAATGATTTCATGGGGACATTTTTTTTGAGCAAAAAGAGAGTCTATGGATGAGATTGTTTAACTAAACAAAATGGCACTTATAAACAAGACATAAGATACGCTGTCATTTTGAAAAGTTAAACGAATTTTTGTATTTCAAATTTTCCAAGATTAGAATTTTTTGTCAAATGCAAAGTAATTATGATTATTATAGTTATCATAACTATTATTATCATTATTAATAACATTTTATTAAACAGGTATGAGGCACTGTTGGCAGTACAGAAGCTGATGGTACATAACTGGGAGTATTTGGGAAAACAGCTTGAAAAACCCGCCACAGAACAGGTAACATTTCTAGTACCTTGCACTACAGCAGGGGATAATATTTTCCTGAATGATTTTTGCTGATTTTCGGGGGGTTGACATTTTTTATTGTTTTTGATACTTTTTACAAGATCCATTCTTTGTGTACAATTGTTTATGTTTGACATAGATAACATACATTTTATTACTTAAAAAATAAAACTAAACCTTAATCTATTTTTGGACATTTTTTCCGAAACTAACATATATTTCTGCAAACATGTCCGCTGATGAACAGTGTCCAGAAGTAAGATATCGCTAATCTACAATACTTAAACTAGAGATCCACTGTAACACTAATTCATTGGAAATTAATTTAGTACAGATAACTGCTTGACCTCGGGATTAACAAAAAATTAGTTTTTTATCTTTATGACAGAAACAATCTCAAGAACTGACGAGGGTCAACCTAGACCGAAATATATTTTCAATAAAATGTAGAACTAACATTTACTTTTTTCTCTACAGAGGTTTGGTACATCACCATCACCAAATTTTAAATAATGTACCTCAAGCACCATTTCTAAAAGAACGAGCATTGCCGACAATATTTTCCATTTATGTTGATTTTGTTAAAAAGTAAATTTACTTGATATATTGTATAGATTTTACAAATAAAGAATGTTGATTAATAAGTTTTTGTTTGTTTCAGGGTGGCAGCGGTATTCCCGTGGCATGAATGGATTCGGATCTCAAGATTTTCAACATTTGAAGAAGAAAACATCGATCATCGCGCGACGGGGAAAAATTTTAAATCGTCAGTTTCAGACATTGTTTAAGCTTGGCGTGAGTCTATGTCTAAGTGTGAAAATTTTGGATAATTTCCGTCTTATTTTAGATTCCTGAAAGTTAAACATTTTTTCCTCAATCTTAAATTTTTCCATATTTTTATATTCTTGATTTTGCCATCTCCAGTGATTTGTTGTATTTGTCTCATTTTAGAATATTACCAGCACGACAGGCTATCTATCGCATTTAAAATATACATTAGTTTATTTTATTTATTCCGTCAGATTGATAATCTGATGCATGTTCTGTTAACTGAGTTAGTAACTTTTAAATAGAGGTTTAACCGATGCGTTGCGTACTTTGTCCTCTGTAAAGGCATTAGTCAGTGCACTGTGTTCAAAACTTCAAGAAGTTTATTGATTTATTATATTTGTGCTTTTCATTATGAAAAAATGTTTTCTTCCACACAACCCTGTTTTCATATTTAGTATTTGATGTTCAAAAATCATGTTTCTATGTTTTTTGTGCCTGGGAAGTAATATACAAACTATAGGGGAGAATTCATCTGGTAAATGTTGTTCATTTTTAGATTTTTTAATAAAAAATGTGTTGAAGGAATGTTTTTACTTGCCTGAATGTAGGTAGATTGTCAATCATTTCTTGTTTTAGCCTAGGTCAAAATCGGTCAATTTTGTTACAGAAAAGAGTTGTCGCTTATGAGGTGCTCAAGGAAATTGTTTTTGTTCGATCCTGAGTGTCCTGTATTGGCCTAAAGTTTAGAAATTTTCCGTTATTTTTGGCAGTTTTAACGATTTTTTCAAAGCCCAAAGCCCAAAGTAGGGCCCTTGTACAGCAGACAATCGTCTTTTTTTCTCTGTAATCTACTAACACAAAAAGAAAACTCTTCTTGATATTTTTCCCTTAATCTCCGAAAAAAATTTTGTTTTTGAAATCTTTTATTTTTTAGATTTTTGTCGATTAGAGAGCAGATATCTAGAAGAGTTTTCTTAATGTTAGTACATATCAACTGAAGGGGAGAATTCTGGTAAAATGTTCATTTCTTTAATTTTTTGATAAAAATATGTTGAAGGAATGTTTCAAGTTGCCTATATGTTGATTATCATTTCATTTCTATGTCAATTTTGTTACAGAAAAGAGTTGTCGCTAATGAGGTGCCTAAGGAAAAATGTATTCAACCAAAAATTTTTGTTTGATCCTGAGTGTCCTGCATTGGCCTGAAGTTCAAAATTTTACCGTTATTTTTGGCGATTTTACAAAGCCCGAAGGGACCTCGTACAACATATACATCAAACAATCGTCATTTTTTTTCTCTGTAATCTACATGATGTAAAAACTAACATAAAAATCTCTTCTTGATATTTTTCCCTTAATCTAAAAAAATCATTCTTTTTGAAATTTTTTTTCATAATCTTTTATTTTTTAGATTTTTGTCGATTAGAGAACAGATATCTAGAAGAGTTTTCTTAATGTTAGTACATATCAACTGAAGGGGAGAATTCTGGTAAACTGTTCATTTCTTTAATTTTTTGATAAAAATATGTTGAAGGAATGTTTCCACTTGCCTGTAGTGTTTTAGCCTATGTCAAAATTGGTCAATTTTGTTACAGAAAAGAGTGTTTGGCCTAACGTTCAAACTTTTACCGTTATTTTTGGCAATTTTAGCGATTTTACAAAGCCCAAAGAAGGGACCTTGTACAATATATACATCAAACAATCATCATTTTTTTTCTCTGTAATCTACATGATGTACATTAACATAAAAAAACTATTCTTTTCCCTTAATCTAAAAAAAATCCTTTTTGAAATTTTTTTTTCATAATCTTTAACAATTCAAATTTGTTCAATATATCACATTTGTTCAACAACTCACATTTGTTCAACAACTCTCATTTTTTCAACATCTCACATTCGTTCAGCAACTCATATTTGTTCAACAACTAGTATTTGTTTAATAACTCTCATTCGTTCAAAAACTCATATTTGTTCAACAGCTAAAATTTGTCTCACAACTATAATTTGTTCAACATCTCACATTTGTTCAACAACTCAACAACTCATATTTGTTCATCAACTATCATTTGTTCAACAGTTTTCATTTTTTAACAACTTTCATTTGTTCAACAACTCGCATTTGTTCAACAACTCTCATTTGTTCAACAACTCTCATTTGTTCAACAACTCACATTTGATCAACAACAAAGTTTTTTCAACAACTCGAATTTGCTTAATAACTCTCATTTGTTCAACAGATCACATTTGTTCAACAACTCTCATTTGTTCAACAAATCACATTTGTTCAACAACTCACATTTGTTCAACAACTCACATTTGTTTAATATCTCACATTTGTTCATTAATTCTCATTCATTTGTTCAAAAGTTCTCATTTGTTCAACTACTCATTTGTATTAACACTCATTTGTTCATCAATTCTCATTTGTTCAACGCATTTGTTCAACAACTCGCATTTGTTCAACAACTCGTATTTGTTCAACAAATCACATTTGTTCAACAACTCACATTTGTTCAACAACTCACATTTTTTTAATATCTCACATTTGTTCATTAATTCTCATTCATTTGTTTAGCTACTCTCATTTGTTCAAAAGTTCTCATTTGTTCAACTACTCATTTGTATAAACACTCATTTGTTCATCAATTCTCATTTGTTCAACGCATTTCTTCAACAACTCGCATTTGTTCAACAACTCGTATTTGTTCAACAAATCACATTTGTTCAACAACTCACATTTGTTCAACAACTCACATTTGTTCAACAACTCGCATTTGTTCAACAACTCACATTTTCTCAACAACTCGCATTTGTGCAACAACTCTCATTTGTTCAACAACTCACATTTGATCAACAACAAAGTTTTTTCAACAACTCGAATTTGCTTAATAACTCTCATTTGTTCAACAGATCACATTTGTTCAACAACTCTCATTTGTTCAACAAATCACATTTGTTCAACAACTCACATTTGTTCAACAACTCACATTTGTTTAATATCTCACATTTGTTCATTAATTCTCATTCATTTAGCTACTCTCATTTGTTCAAAAGTTCTCATTTGTTCAACTACTCATTTGTATAAACACTCTCATTTGTTCATCAATTCTCATTTGTTCAACGCATTTGTTCAACAACTCGCATTTGTTTAACAACTCGTATTTGTTCAACAAATCACATTTGTTCAACAACTCACATTTGTTCGACAACTCACATTTGTTCAACAACTCACATTTGTTCAACAACTCACATTTGTTCAACAACTCACATTTGTTCAACAACTCACATTTTTTTAACAACTCTAATTTTTTTACACATTTGTTCAACAACTCGCATTTGTTCAACAACTCACATTTTCTCAACAACTCGCATTTGTGCAACAACTCTCATTTGTTCAACAACTCACATGTGTTCAACAACTCTCATTTATTCAACAACTCGCATTTGATCAACAACTAAATTTTTTCAACAACTCGAATTTGCTTAATAACTCTCATTTGTTCAACAAATCACATTTGTTCAACAACTCTCATTTGTTCAACAAACCACATTTGTTCAACAACTCACATTTGTTCAACAACTCACATTTGTTCAACAACTCGTATTTGTTCAACAACTCACATTTGTTCAACAACTCACATTTTTTTAACAACTCTAATTTTTTTCAATAGCTAACATTATTCAAACCACCATCGCACTGTAAATCACATTCTTATCATTATATTATCATGCATAGTGAGTACATGCTACGTTGTAGATGATATAATTCGAGTTAATATAAAAACCTTCAGCGGTATCAATTTGGCATACCCTTTAAGTTCAAAATGTTTACATTACGTGTAAATGGTAACACACTATCGCAGCACAGGATATAAATATATAATTTTCTCTCAGAATAATCTGTTAAATTTTTAGATACGGTTCCACTCTATAATATTCTCTACTCTGTAATTGTATTGTCATGCTTTTGATTTAATGTTTGTTGATTTCTTTTCACGCTTTTTAACACAAAATCATTCAACCTTACAAACCTTATACACGGGGTTAGTACAAATCTTTTGGCAAGATACACTTTTTGCTCTGATTTTGGAATTGTAATCTCACCAATTATTTGAACTAGGGATGTGTTAAGAGAAAAGTAATTTAAATGAAACCTGGAAAATGTAAAAATGTCTGAACATTAATAATGATTGTCATAAAAAAAGAAATTAGAAAAGGTTCCTTTCTATTCAGTTTTTACTGAATAATTTACGCAAAGTTTATTCAACCTTACCCCACACACTTCACAATAAAAAACCAATTTGGCATAGAATGCTCTCTATTGGGGAGGGGAGGGGGGTGAAATGACACAGATGAATCCTGTGTATGCATTACAAAGCTCATTTCCATTAAAAGAGCGACTTGTTCTATTCTAAACGGTACTATAAGTCATTTGTCTGAAAGTTTTACAATTTTGGTCTTTCTTTATAAGATACTTCTAGATTTATCTGCAGAAACAAAAAAGTAAAAATCTAATCTAATATTTTTCGAGAGGTTTTAAGATTAATGTTGTGAAACACATGCCAAAATTTAGGTCTTTCTCTCGGAAAACTTTTTTTCAAATAACTTTTTTGGCGGTTACCGTATCTTTGCGCCCATCGCTTTTGGATGTTGGACTTCTTTTTATTTATTTTCATGATAAAGGTACAGGTATAAAGATGTGTGTGCACCTTATTTTTATATTTTTGACTTTTGTTATATATCTGCATAAATAAATTAATGATTCAATACTGTTATATTTTTATGAAACTCTTGTGTACTCATGGTCACTTCAAGCAATATGACCCCCCCCCCCCCTATCTTTATTTTTTGCAAGAACTGGAATAGTATCTGAGGTGGCTGTTCTAGCTTAAACATGCTCATCAATTCAGTCTAAAAGCTGGGCTTATACACCTACTGTCTGAGTTCTCTGGCGTACCGCCTAATTGCCTTATTTTTCACCAGACTAAATCTACATTATAACCCACTTCTAGTCACTGGTTTTCAACAATTTCTAGATCTTTAGAATGCCAGTAACAATAGAAAGCAGATGGCACAATTTTTGCTAAGAAATTTTGCACAGACACCTTTAAATGGGAATTGCAAATTTCCAGTTTTTCTTGATTACACATTCTGGTTTTGAAAATTTTGCGAAAACGTTTTCAGATTTGAATATGCTGGGTTCTCAGGCGTACTGCCTACAGGCCTTATGATACCTATACCAGACTGAATCTATACTTGGACCATATTTCCAGTCATTGGCCGGATTTTAACAATTTATAGCTCTTTAGAAAAACTAAAACAAAACAAAAACCAGATTGCACAATTTTTTCAAAGATTTTTCGCACATACGCCTTTAATTAAAGTGAATTTTTACATTTTCAGTTTTTCTTGAATACACATTTAGGTTTTGAAAATTTTGCAAAAACTTTTGAAGATTATTTGCTACATGAAGGACTTTCTAAAATGTTTAATTTATCGAATTTTCCGCAATTTTAGTTTTTACACAATTTTTGCGAACATAACTAGATTTCGCAATAAATACTTGGATTTTTGCAAATTT